TTAGTTATGATAATTATTTTACTGTTTCCTGTTAATTGTAACACTAATCAAAAATAAAAACCTCAGTTTATTTGAGTAAAGTTTGTTTATTGTATACAAAAATAAATTAATAATAAATAAACAAAAATGCATACTTTCAGGCATTTCGACAGTGTTGCCACCTTTTGAAAATTAAGCATGTAAAGTACAATGTAAAATTCGCTTTAAATCATGTTCATATACATAAATGCCTTAAAAAATTAAACTACTCCTATTTATTTTTAAATAGATCTTATAATTATATTTAAAATGTGTAGTCTACATAAAAAATATATAAATATAAAAAAAGACTTTAATAAATAAAGTAAATAACATGTTCTAAACGAGTTTTGAAACTGCTTTGTTTTATAATTTCAGTCAGAAGAGTTAAAAACATTGAAGGAGTCATTTCCGACCATATAAATCATATATATTATTGATCAGAATCAAAAGGCGAATCTATCTAGCCAACTCCGGAAGAAAACAAAAAATTTCAATTTTTTCACAATTTGACATTGTTAAAATTGTCAAAAAAAATGCCAAAAAAATAGCCAAAATTTTCAATTTATTTAAACTTTAAATTGAGTATGCAGATTTATTAACCTAATAAAAACTAGCATAGGAAAGCTTTCCGAATTGAAATTATTGCTTTTTTGGCTTAGTTATGAGTTTTTTAAACTTTGATATATTGAACAAATTGTCATATAAAATTTCATAGAATGGGAATACTTATTTGTATTCAAAAATACTCTACTAAAAATTAATGTCCCTTAAATATTTCCTCATAATTTTTCTTCTTCCTTATGTTGGTTAAATTTTAATTGAAAAATTATAAACAGTTTTGCATGCCTTAAAGGTAGGTGACTTTCTGGTAAAATTATTCCTTCCGCTCCATGCAACATTGTTTCATGTTTTACCTGCGTCGCGTCCTCTCTAAAAATAATCCCAACAATATGCATAAATTAGGATCCATTCGCCGTGTCTGGCCGTGTACATGCTAATTATAATGACAAATCGGTCAATTATAATGCGGTGTCATAAATTTTCGAATCGCGATCGATCAGCCAGGCGACTCGAATATTGAATAAAATGGATCGTAAATTGTGGAACATGCCTGTTCACATGGGGGCGACTTCATTAAGGAGCTGGTGCTGGTGCTGCTGCTGGTGCTTAATTAACAGGACTCTGGCACAGGACTACTAGACAAAGGACCAGATTCCTGTAAGCCAGATCAATGGAAGCAATTTGCCAACAACTCAAGGCAAAAGTAAAGGGAAGATGCGGATGTACGAGGCACCTCGAGGCCCCTTCGAGATTGCAGCGGAGCAAAGCGGAGGCTGGTTGGATTTAATGAAGCTAGTGGACAGCCTCCTCGCAGCTGTCAGAATGCCCATTTCCAGGTCACGCCCACCGCATTAAAAAGCCACTAACCAGGACGTGGGGGCGGAGGCGTGGCAATGTTCAACCTGTCACAGAGCGGCGATCGTGCAGTTTTCAAATTTATGGCCGACACGCACTTATACACCCCCAAAAAAAAAATATGATAAAATAAAAACAAAATAGCAACACCAAAAATATACACAGAAATAAAATTATATTGAATTCGCCTTCCTTTATATTAATTTTATGTTTTAAATTGTACATTTTATTAAAGAACATATTGAATTAAATATAAAACATGTTGATAACCGATAACAAATGAGAAGATAGGTTGCGGCTCATTTAGTTCTATAAATTCCTATATTTGTATTACTATTATTTAATGACTGCCTAAAAAGACCATAATAATTAGAAGTCCTATGCTTTGCTCTTTATAAAGCATGATTTTAAGGTACTTTTCTTCCCCAAATTTAAATTAAAACTTAAAGAACTGTCTGCTTATTCACAACAATAAATTATAAAAACAACATTGGCAAATAAAATTAGCAAATTCATAAATTTTCTGTGTGCATTACTGGAATGGAAACGTGTTTGCCTGGCATTCATCATGTTTTATTTCAGTTAAGTTCTTTCACTCCACCAGAAGCACGAAGCAAAGAGAACTGTTTCGCCTTATAATTGCCGCACTTAACCGAAGCGTCCAGCAACGGTATAACCAGTTCCTTCAGTTTCCAGCTCCAGCTCCTGCTCCGCCGGAGATGTCCATCAGGCAGCTGACCGCAGAAAGGGCACGGCACCATCCCCATCCCCATCTCCAGCTCCAGCTCCAGCTCTATACTCAGCCACATCCCCAGCCCCAGACTCTGACTCTCTGGCATTTCGCATTATATCTGCAACTGTCCCAGGCACATTCTCTTTTTTCCATACCCTTGAAAGAGGTAAATGGAATTTCATGAACTTCTTTTATAAGATGAGAAATGTATCCTTGGAATGCGATATTGGTAAAGTCCTTGATTTTCGATGGGTAATGGGAATTTAATAGAGCAATGAGAATAAAGGTTAAGATTTTACAAATTTTCAAATTTGGTTATTACAAAGCTAGTAAAAAATTTTAAATTATGATTCTGATTACTAGATCTGGACCCTCAAAAAAATAATGTAAAAGATAACAAGTTAGGATATTATTAAAAGAAGTTAATGTTTAAAAATTATAATTTTCTTTATTTCATATTAGCTGCAACTTAAGCCGAAGGATACCCTCTTAAACAAGAATTTGTGACATAAAAAACCTTCTTATGGTTTTTGATACATTCTCCTTTTAAATAAATGTAATTAAATTATTACTTAAACCCTTTTCTTATTAAATATCTTTCATTCACTCTCTTTAGATAATTATTTATTAACAATATAGTTTAGCTAGAGTATTCCCATCTTCGTTGCCGCCTGCCTCCCAATCCCTTTTCGTGATCTTTATGGTCATGTGCTGTATTTCTTCACGCAGATCGCGTCGCCGATGCTGTAGGGTCAGAATCCGCAGCTGGACCTCGTCTCGGATCTCTGCGGGTTTGGGATTGCGTTTGGGTTGATTGCCGGTTTGCGATAAGGTGGTGGCATACCAAAGCCCGATTGTCTTACACATCTATAAATAGCTTGGAATTGCGACTGGATCTTGGACAGAAACCTGGCACTGGCGCATGCAATCATTAGTGGAAATTTTCCTCGGCCACTCTCCCTGGCACTGGGTCCCCGAGGGGCAATAAAATCAGGCCCGGCAGACGCCTCACATATACCTACAGAGTAGGATCCTATATAAATATACTCGTCCACACACAGAGGAAAAGAGGCGACCGCAAGCAAGGTCGTTGAGCGACCTTCAGTCGGTTTCCCGTTGAGTGCCGCTGCTCTTGGCCTTTATGGGCTCGCTTTCAGGTCTTGAGGCAGATCAGTAAACAACGACAGCGACATTTATGGAAATGCCTGCTCTTAATTGGCCAAATGTGGCTCTATAAAGATCGCCCAAAAACGGATGCCTTGACTTTGTCACAGGTTCCTTGTCTCTCCCCCCGAGCAGGGATCACCGGTTTCAGTTTCCCGCGAAGGAGTCAAGCTTCCGCGTTTCACTCGGAAGACTTGATGGTCCCCGGGCAGGTTCCAGCTGCCAGGGTATTATCTTTATCCCAACGGAGAAGAGAACAGCCCTTGTCATGGCTTATCTCAGGTATTGAGAAAATTAAAGGAAACCATAAATATTTAATAAAAAGTAATACAAATTAAACGTACTCTTCAACAATTTAAAGTTTTTCAGAAAGAAACAATAAAAAACTATTGTATAAATCTGAGGCATATGAAAATTTACAAAATATAGTATTAAATGTTGTCCCATCTTAATTTTCAGTGTAAAAATCGAAACAATAAGCTTCGATTCCCCTGGCTCGGAGTGTCCTGCTCCTGCTGCTGCTTTGTCACTTGTTCATATCAATTAAATTTTAATGATATTGTCTCGAAAAACTACTTTCCTCCGTTGTGCCGCAGGCTGCGTGTTTTTAATCAATTTTAAGTGGCTATTTACATTGCGGAACGGAGGAGCAAGCTCCAAAGATGGGGATGTGATATCTGCCCCCACTCTGGGACAACCTGTTTTCCATTAACCCCTCCCTCAAATGAGATTAATGCACTCACACACACAGCTCGGTTTAATTCTCGACTTTAATTCTCTTTTATTTTTACTACACAAGTCACTTAGTCTCTAATTAGGATAGTTTCGCTCGATCTTAATGCTGGTAGGTGCTTCTACATCGTCGGATTCTTTTATGGCAAGTTGCTAGGTCAGTGGAATTTCGAGTGCTGTCGGCTGAATAAATTAGGTTCGCTTTCGGTAACTCTATAGTAAGCTACGGTTACAATTACAATACCAACAACTACAATAAATTAATTAAAACATTAACTAAACATTAAACAAAATTCGTTTACTGACTAAACACACACAGGGCCAAAGGAGTGTGTCCTGGTCGCGTGGGAACTCATCTATAGAGCTACAAACTAGGGGTAACTACGTGTTTATTTAGGCTATCTAGGTTATCTAAGCTAAACTAAAATACGACTTGGATCACATTTGAATGCCCTTGAAGCTGGCTCCTCAGCAGGGGGAGTGCGGGGTGACGGTTATTTCGTTTTTAACACTCGCAGAAATAATTTTTGAGAAATTTGGAAAAGTTAAATTCACAAGAAATATAGATTTTTTAAAAGGATATTCTTAAGATGGGTGAACTTAAAAAGACTTTTTTATACATTTTTTATTTTATATTTTAACCCCTGATATTATTAACCTTCTTGTATTATATTATTAAAAGAATGAGGGGTTATTTTAAATATATTTAACTCATTGAGAATATCAATCTTTTAAACTAATCAAAGATTATGTGAATTTGAGCTTATTCTAAGTCAAATGTTGTTCGTTTAAATCTTTCTGAATCAATAAATATATGAAGATTTTTTCCAAATCAAATTAATATTTCCTAAAATTCTTTTCAAAAATACTAAATAATTTTCCAAATATTCCAAACAATTATTTCTTTGAGTGCATAGTGACCGCCATGGACCCCCTATTTGAGCTTGAGAAACGTGAGCAACGCCTTCTGAATCAGACTGCGATTGATGGTAGAGTCGGCGGTATAACGCACTCCCCAGAGGTTCCCATCGTTGTGGTCCACCACTCCATACTCGCCGACAATGAAGCCATCGTCGGTCTTCTCCTCCACTCGGTATTTGCGATAGTTTTGTCCCTCGACCACGTATGCCACTTTGTCCTCATCTTCGGGTGCTCCAGCTGCCCCTTCCTCACCGGAGGAATCACCCTCAGATGTGGTTTCTCCATTTCCATCCCCATCACCATCCCCGCCATCATCCGAATAATCGTTGGCATTTGCATTGTAAACCACCGAGCCACGTCCTCTGTTGATGCCACGAATGGTGCTCGTTGTCGCTGGACCAGCTGGTGTAGTGGCCACTGATGCAGTGCCACCACTACCTCCTGCCACAACACCGCCACCGCCACCGCCACCCTGCGGTCCATGGGCCCGTCCGTTTGTCATAACACTAACGGACTCCTCGATTTCGTAATTCTGCTCCGAGGTCGGAGTATAGAGCTCGGGGCGCTCGGTGGTAAAGTGTTGATGGTGCTGCGCCCTAGATGGGGAGGAGGAGTGGGCGGAGGCTCCAGATGCCACGATGCCTGAGGAGGATGAGGATGAGGAGGAGGAGGAGCTACTGCTGGAGCTAGAGCTATATGAATAGCCGCCGCCACTGCTGCCTGACCCCGTCGCTGCAGATGATGATGATGGCGAAGCCGTGGATGCCGATGCTGCTCCATGTTGGTGTGCGAATTTGGCAACACACTTGACTAGATCTGCAACAAAAGATGATGTTTGATAAGTTCAAGATTAGCCAGCCGGGGTTCAAGTGGGTCTAGCCCGTGCGTTGTCGCTGTCTGTCACAATTCATAGATACACTATGCAACAGGTGGGGTTTTAAGAAAGATTTGTTGCTTGAAACATGAATAAAATGAGCTATTTATTCCTTAAAAAGAGGAGAAAGTAAAGAAGTTTAAAACTCCTTAGAAAGATTAAGAAATACTGAGATCCTAATCTATCATTAAAGTGGGTTGGATAAATGTTTTCCCTGATATATGATTAATCCGCTGGGGTCCTAAAATTGATCTCTTTAATTTATGCAATTGCAAAATGAGCCCTGCTGCAGAGTGTAATTTGTTTAACAAAATGTACAGAGAAAGAAAGGAGGATAGATAAATTATTTCTTTTTAAAACTAAGCTTTTTTAATAAATACTAAATGGATATTGATATTATTTATAACTTAAAGAATAATGCAAATTTAAATATAAATTCTGTGTAAGATCAAATCTTGTTCTTTCTACGTCAAAATGTCTTTTCGTTGAATATTTTCTTTAAATCAAGGCTCAACTCCCCAATTAAGATATAAAAGAGACTTCTTATAGGATAATTTGTACTCCTTAGTACACATTCTTTTTCTCCTGTGTACTTTAAGACTACGCTTCAGATTCCAACTCCAACTTGGACTTAGACTCACCTCTGTTGGGCAATCCTTTGGCATTTTGATTAGAATGTTGATGCGGCAGTGATGAATGCTGACGTTGCTCCCAGCAGGGACGTGGCTGCTGTTGCTGGTAGTTTGGACCTGGCTTCGATAAAATTGGCTCCAATAGATGAGGCTGCGGTGCATTTAATAAATCATAAGGCAATTTATCCAAATTGAAGAGTACACGGCGCGTTGGATGAGCTTGTTGCTGATGTTGCTGGTGATGTTGCTGCTGCTGCTGCTGCTGGTAGCTGTGATAGTGATGCTGCCAAGTTGTGGGTCTAATGCTGCTGCTGCTGCTGGGAGGCCTTACTGTGGTGACCCTGTTGGCCAGTGTTGCTGGTGTTGTAGTAGCTGCTGTTGCAGATGTTGTTGCTGCTGTTGGTGTTGTGGCTGTTGTGCTCTGGGCCTCGCCAAAAGCGATGCGCGAGACAATCGCTGGTCGCGGTCTAGATCTGGGCGGCAAGAATGTTGTGGCAGCCACCGGCTGCGCCGTGCTGGTGCTACTGCCAGAGATGGGATTGGAATGGGGAGTAGTTCCCGCAGGAGTGGCTGTCGTGCTGGTCACCGTTTGTGGCCAATAGGTCTTGGCCGGTTCTCCATAGACCTTTGAGGGTTGCCCATAAACCTTGGCTGGCTCTGAGTAAAATTTCGAAGGTTGTCCGTAAACCTTCGAGGGTTCCGAGTATACCTTCTCGGGCTGACCATACATTTTGGCTGGCTCGGAGTAAACCTTGGCTGGTTCCGAGTAAAACTTACTCGGCACACTGTACATCTTGGAGGGCACAGAGTAGAATTTAGCTGGCTCTGAGCCATGTCCATGTTTTAGGCTCTCACTAACATTCCTTTGGGCCTCGGCCAGGATACCGCTTCTCGACTGTTGCCAGGCTTGTAGATCATCAACATTCTGGCTGATGGAGCTGTAGGATATGGATCGGGACTGGGGTCCTCTGCCCTGCTTGGTGTCATGATAAATCACTGTTTGAAAGGGTAAACCTGCGCCAGTTCCTGCTCCAGTTCCTGTTCCAGTTCCTGCTCCCTCCTCAGTTTTGTTCTTAAGAAACGAATGCATTGATGAAGCTGAGGCCGCCAGCAGAGGAGCAGCCAATACATTCTGTATATTGGAGGCACTGTTCAGAGAATCCCCTTCAGCATCCATGGAGTCCCCGGCCAATCGAGGTTCCGTTTCCTCTATTGAAAGTTCACTTTTATGCGAACGATTTACAAAATCCGAGCCACTTCCTGTAGGACTTCCCTGGGAACTGCCCTTGGGAGGACCTCTTTTGCTAGAAGAACTCACACTAACGGCCACCACTTTCACCTCGTCGCTGGAAGAGGACTTCCCCAACTTCCCCACTGGACTTGGAGCATCTTCGAGGAACACTATCTTACTGCCAGAGGTCACCAGCTTGACCACTTGCTTGGAGTCTGAGTCCTCTACTGTGGGATTGCTGCCGGAACTAAGGGAATTTCTATAGCGATTCCTGCTGCCATCCAAACTCCTTCCCGTGGCCATTCGCTGGCGAGGATGAGGATTCGGCGAAGTTGAGGCAGTTGACTCTGCTCTGCCCTCAAAATCCTGTTCGCTGCTGTGCAAACTACGCTGCTGATCGTCATGATCCAGGAAGAGCTTGAGGAACTCGTTGCCCGCAATGAGTTCACTTTGCCGACCGCCAGGCAAAGGAGCGGGAGCAGGACGTGTCCAACAACCGGACATCATCTGGGAAAGAGAAGAGATTATAAGAAAGGAGTTAGATAAATTAGTATAAGATGGATTGTAATACATTTTCCCCATAAACCAGATCACAATCTATGTCAACTGACTTGCCCATGCAATCGTCACCTAGGGTGATCGCATCCACAGCTTATCTCAGAAATCTATTTATAAATTTGCGTAATTAAAATATCATTTGGAGTGATCGACGATACTATAAATCCATATGTCTTCATGTCGGGCACAAATATGCATAAGTCATGCAATGAGATCTTGGGCTCTGGACCTCAACTTGACTAGCCGCATTTGAATAATAATGCGGCCGGGTCTATTAAGACATCGGAACATCGGAATGCCATGGCACCGGCACCGTTTGAAGTGGTGCATGTTGCTCCCTGGTCAAGTATAGCTTATGTATGTGGCATAATTAACCGCGTTTGCAGCTCGATCGAGTGCTCAAGTGGGTGGTGGCGTAAGGTAGCGAAAAACAGCGATCGGACAAACAGTTCCAGGCACAAGCCAGGCACTTCGCATCGGATTCCATTCGACTGGAAAATGGTAACATTACTTAAACAATTAATCTGTCAGCGTGATATTTATGTTGTTATTGATTTGCCTGCATTTCCCTGACTCATCTCGACTTGTTTTTAATGAATAGCATTTCCGGATTAAAGGACAAGTTTTATGTAGCTGGAAGTCCCTTGGTCAGGTTGCAGTTTTAATTAATTTATTTTTCAATGAGTAATGATTAATGGGAGTTGAACAGGACTTAGTCATACATTCTTTGTGGCTTAAAGTTTGACTAATAAATTAAGTCACTGTTTCAAAGGGAAAGTAAAGTACAACTGAGCCAGCTAATAATTAAATTAAAAATAATAATTCTTTAAAAATTATAAGATTTTAAACATGATCATATTTATTATAATATACAATATAATAAAATGTATAGATTAAAGAATATAAACTGCCCATTTCAATTAACCTTCACTAAAAATCAACCCACTAAAGTAGTTGAAAAAGTAAATGTGAAAAAATATGAGACTTACATAATATAACCCATTAATTTCCTTTATTTAATACTAATCTACATTCATATCTGCTCGTACATTGCATTGCAAATTCATGGCCAAAGATCGGCCATAAATCGTTATCAGCGCCACACACACACCCACCGCAGAAACAAAAGACTTAGGGCACGAACTTGCCCTCCCAATCCACTTTTGAGCTAATAAAACATATTTATGGATATATCTAGCTATCGTTCAATAATATTAGCATTGCTAATTGCATTAAGGCAGATCATTTACCATCGGACACACTTTTGATCCACGGCTAACCCATTGAAATATAATCGACTTTGAATTGGAAAGGCGCAAATTGAAAACAATGAAAAATGGCGAAAATTGAATCGAATATTAATAGAAGCCGCCAAACACCATACACGAACTGCTGAACATAATAGCATAATTATTCAAGCTGTTTGGTAAATAAGCCTCAAATAAAATATAATATAATATAATATAATAGAGTATAAATACACCCCCTGAGCAAGAACAATAACAACATCCGGCAGCGCAGTGGGCGCCTGTCGCCGGGCATTTTCTAGAGCAGAGCCGATCTGAGCGATTGCATCTACACACTGGCAGCACTCGGAACACCTTCGCACATGTGCTAAAGTTACCTGACTTGACCAGGCGGCTCAGCCCAGCCCAGCCCAGCGCCCGAGCCAGTCACTAGATCGGTTAGTCATCCGGCGGGACTTGGGTCGCCTTGCCTTTTATGTCTAAAATTGCAGAAGTAACTGACCGCGGGCGTTGAATGGAAACAACAACAAGAAAATGGAAAAGCGACAGTGGTCGCCACTTAGCATTGACACCAAATTAACGGCTTGGCTAGCCAGCGACAATAAGGGCTGCGTAAGACAATAAGCAAAACGTTCTAAAAATAATTACGAAATAATGAATAAATCCCAACAATGAGCATTCCACTCCCATTGTGGAGTTATTCGAACCGCCTGGTCAGTGACGTGCTCCAGTTTAATGAATGAACGTGGAGCTCGGAGATCTCTTACGGCGGCCTGGCCCCATGATAGGTAATTATTAATCTTGATTGATTTATCACAACCTGCTTTAATTTTGGATTTGGAGATCTCTCTAATCCTGTTCAACATTCTTCTGCACTTATCATTTATCATTCGATTGTTGCACTGGTGACAATTTTCACGGCTGTCAACTTAGCGGAAGTGTCAAAAAACTACCATATATACACGAAATACTTTCAGAACGCCAGCCCAGTGGCCATATTACGTATCCGCCTTGTGGTGCGCGTGAATAGAGATCAAACAATTAAGCAATAATCACGCCTTAATGAGCACTCTTTTTATTGGTCTCAATTGTCCCACTCGATTGGCTTTCAAGTGCCGATCCACCACTATATGTCGATACTGGACACTCGATACTCGATGCTTTTAATTAGCTCCAATCATCGTGATTTCACACAACGCCACAAGTTGACAGATTGAATTCATGTTTTGAGTTATGCAAATTTCGGAAGTATTTTCATACCACTTGATACGTTGATGATTGATCTCGATCAGCTTGGAACAGGATTCGCGACTCAATGACTCAACGCGGGCCACGAACTTGCCACACACATCGCGCTTTTAGCTATCGAATGCGGAAAAAGTCATGTAACTTTTAACATTTCTGCATAATCCCAGCGGTTTCTTCGGGCGTTTTCGTTCACTCTAGAAGTGGGCGGCCACCACAAGGAGCAACAGCAGCAGCTACTGGAGCTGCCCAGTCGGTGGCCAAGTGAATGTGTCAGCGAGTCCATTTTCCCCCCAATACAAAGTCTGGCCTAAACTGGACGCCGGACAAAGTCTAATCTCTACCACCCGCTGTCGTCAGCTGTGGCCACATTGTGTGCACAATATTATAATATTACAAGACAACGCCAGCAGCGCCTTTTTTTCGGGTCCGCCTTCGCCAAAGGCACTGCGAGAAAAGCAGGTGTAGGTACAAGGAATACTCATTTAATAAAAGTATTTAAAATTATCGAATTCGGAAACTAGAGCTCTGATTAAACACATAAAATCCGGGACTAGGATTCATAGCAGATCACTCAAAAATCGTTTTGTATTCAAAGAATTAATCCTTGGAAATGTATAGTACATTTTTCCTAATTTAATATGTTTAATTTGTTAATTTAATATATATATGTATATATATATTTATATATTAAGCTGCAACAAGAATTTACTACGCTGATTTATAAGAAACTATTAATAAATTAACTTTCGTTAAAAACGGTTTATCCCATACAAACAATCTTCTATTAAATTATCTTATAAGTTTCAAGGTAAGCTACTTGAATTATTATATGGTAAGCTATATTTTAATTTCAATTTACTTTTTCTATATTAAATTTAATCAGTTTCCTTTAATTTCTCCCCGTGTAACTATCTCGCTATCGATCTTCCAGCCAAGTGCAGCCCACATTAGGGCAGTGCCACGCTCAATGCCACTAGTTTGGGCCCAGAATCAGACTCGAATTCGCTCCAAATTGCACCTATCAACTTGGTTCTGTGGCATAAAAACACACATTTATTAATTACATGGCAGAGACACACACCGCACCGAACTTGGATTTGTGTGGGAAATTAACCCATGGCAGCGCCAGAACGTTTAAAATCAACTTAAGACCATATAAACGACACGGCTCATTGGCATGAATTTGAATGCTGACTGCAATCATGGATGGACTTTGGTGGGTTAATAATTGAGAAGAGAAAAGCCGAGTTTAGAATGTAGTTGTAGCACAGCAACCACAGCGGCCAAAACCACTCCCTGCCCCGCTGTGCATAATTTGCAAATTGCCATCGTCATCGCCTTCAAATGGCCAAAAGACAGGCTCTTAGTTTCAGCTATGAGTTTTTTCTTTTGAGACACAAACAGAGCCACAGTTTTGAGCCAAACAAAAACAGAGGCAGTCCAATGGGCCAGTTGCATAAATACACTGGAAGAAATAAAGCTAAAATGCTTTTTTAAGTTACATTCAAAAATTAAAATATATACGCATTTAAAGAAAATTTCATTTATCCAAGTTAGTGGTTAAATTGATTATTTTCAATTAAGGAGTTTTCTAGAAAAATTATTTATCCGATATATATTTTTTAAATTTGGTTATATTATTTAAGAGATCTAAAACATTTAACTTTTTAGCAGTTAACGTGTTTTAAAGTTTAAGAAAGAAATTTTTTTACATTTTCTTTTGAAACAAGTTCGTGTCCTAAGTCTTTTGTTTCTTTTACATAAAAAATTCTAGAAATTGTGAGACTACGTAAAAAATATTATAAAATATGTTGGAAAGCAAGGAAAACTATTTATAATAAAGGTAAATTATAGGAAAGTATATGCATTTTTTTAAATTTAAAAAATTGTAGCCCATAGTTTGTAGTCAAAAATTTGTATGAAATTTTTAAAAGATCTCAACACTTTAAATAAATTCCTTGCAAATATTAATGTATGCTAAAGCTTTTAAGAATATATTTCCTCTTTAAAATACACTTATATATTTATATATTTAATATGTGTTCATGTTTATTAATTTATTTTTTTAAAACCTGCCATATTTTTTTTTCAGAATGCTGCAAGCAACCGTCTGCAGTTGAATCGCGTGCAATTATTTAGTTTACTTGGGCTCCAGTTAGCTTTACTTTACTCCACATTACTCACAATCAACTCGGTCTGTCTAATGAGCAGTCAATAAAGTGCGGCCCAGACACAACAGAGCGAATGTGTGGTAAAAATTAATTCCGAAATGCATTCAGAGCTAAGCCAAGCTCGTGAGCCGCTGCTGGATTATGGATGATTTGGGCCAATAAAGCCGAAGTCGGCAAAACAAATGGAGTGCGATCGCACCATTAAACCATTTTTCATAAAACGCAATGGCTAATGGAGCACCGCCTGGGAATGCATTTGGCAACTGGTTGCAGCAATTGTGCCTGAGACTGGATGAGGTCTCAATTGGATGACCAAAGTCTTTTAACCCCATGTTAACCTGGAGATGCCATTTGAAACAATTTCATCGATTGTTCAATCGGAAATCGTGTGGAAAGAAAATGCAACTTTCCAAGTTGAAGATCAATGAAAATTGATTGATTGTTTTTTGAATGTGATGAAAGGCAAAGAGAGTTTTGCAGTGGCTATTATTAAAGGCTTAATTATAATCAATTTCTAAAAATAATAACACCTCTTTTTAATTCGAACTAAAACTATATGAAATTCTATAAATACCACCTTTATTATTTTCTATAAAAAAAATAACATTCATCGCTTGCTTTAGCTTTTCTTAAACCCGAAACTAGTTTAATTCGTTGGCTTAATTGACTAAATTAAGCCTTGAACTTAAGTGGTCAGTGTTTTTTGGTCAACAAATTCCCTGGAATTCTTTGCGCACCTGGCCATAAATAAACCCCAGCAATCAGTGCCTTAAGTGTCACACTTACCAGCAGCAGAAATGCGAATTTGAGGAGCCAGCAAAAGTGTGCCATGTCGGTTGATTCCAATCCAAAACCACCTGTCCACCAGTCGCTCCAGGGAGTTAATCAAGCGCTTTAGTGGCTTCTTTGTTCTGTTTCACCAGATCAGAAACCAATCTGCTCTTAATGGGGGCACTTCCTCAGACGTGATTCATCTCATCTCGTATGGACCATGGTCTCGCTCTGAGCCACTGCCGTTGGCGAATGCTTAATGGCTGGCAATTAAGCGAAAGACAAGGAGCTGGAATTAGTGCAAAATGGTCAAGAAATAAATACAAAAGCGGCATAAAGTATAGTATCCATTGCTCCCATGGCAAATTCATTTGCAAAAAACATATAACAAATGGCGTTGCGTTCAATCGATAAGCGATGGGAAATATCCAAGCCAAATGTCAAGGTGCATTTCACACCAGAAATTGCCGAGAGTCTGCGGCACTTGCAGCTAATTTCAAGAGTTTCAACAAATTCCAAAGCCATCTGTCTACACTTTAAGATATTAATAATTATTTAGGTTTATAATAATTTAAATAAAGTCCTTAAGTTGCAACTATTTATTTTGTGTGTGCTTAAAGTAATTTTCTTTAATATTTTAAATTGAAATATTATAAAGATAAAGGGCTAAGGGACTCTCAAAACGTTTAGCACAGAACTTAGCAAAATACTAGTAACCAAAATAAGGGTTTTTTTTATTAATTTTACTTATATTTATTAGCCTGTACCTTCCGTGCATGATTGCCTCTATCAAGTTCAAAGACAATTAAGGGCTAGTTCTTTATTTCCTTTTTTTTCGGGGTGTAGAAGAATCATTGAACTTGTATTGGCAACAGGTTGGCAACAGCAAAACCGGCAACAAGTACTACTAACCACCAGCAAGTGGCCAGAAGCAGACACTGCCAAAGTGGCAACAAGCTGCACAGTCTTGGCCAGAAAAACAAACCGAGAGCCGAGACTGTCGAGAGTCTAGGAGTCGAGAGTTAAGAGTTTAGAGCCAAGCCCAGGCCCAGACAGATGCTCAGTCGTCTGTTGCAATTTCAACATATTTATAATTAATGGCAAGGTATTTTGATAGCTTTTTTTTGCTGCCAGCAATTGGCATGCCATTGAAGTGAGGACTTTGCCGGTGTTGCTGCAATATCGATGGATACTCCACGGATTTGTTGGACAGAGCCGTGATGAGTTTGATTTTGGCCAGCCATAATTTAATTAACCGTTCTCTGGCATTTCCGCCACACAGACCATGTAATTAAAAAGCCAAGCCAAAGTCAAATCCATAAAACATTATAAACAAAAACAGAAAAAATAAGAGCCGGGTAAGAAATCATATTTTTTCGTCTTGAAAGCTAGACAAAAGCCGAAAGCGAGGAGAGCTGAAGCCAAACCAGTTCTAATTCTTATCAAGCCTTCTTCACAAATCCATATAATTACTCATCCCGTCTGTGGTTATATATTTTTTATGTTAACCTCTCCTCTCAGACAGCGTTCAATGGCTTTAATTACTAAGGAATTCTGCGGGGAAAATAAATATGTTTATGGCCAGCAGGCATCTCATTAAAAACGAAAGTTTCGTTCTTTGGCTTAAAGCGGCAGCTCATTAGTTAGCCAAAGCCAAATAGAACCTTCCATTTGAGCCGGCAAACCATTATTTTTTTTATTCTATTCACCTCTACTGACGTCATCTCAATTTCTTTTATTCTCTTCGACTCGAATTTTTACTTATTCTTCTGTAAGTTCTTTGGCCTTTTGGGTCTTTTGTCTTGTTTTTTTGTAATAAAGGCCAAGAAAGTAAAAGTTCGGAAGGGTTCAAACGAGATCGCCTTGCAAAGTATTCTGTTCACACATTCATTATCCGCAGTTAAACGTCTCTAAATTATAACTAGTCTTTAACTAATCAAGCTGCACCCATAATTGTCATAGGAATTAGAATCGCAATCTGTTCTAGTTCTGACTTTACATGGAAGCCGGTATATATCACAGACGTCACTTGGGTTAAGGCCAAAAGCACATCAAGTTGGTAAAAAGAATTACTTAAATTGGAAATACTCTTTTTGTATTATTATTTACATATAACAATGTATAGGTATATTTAAGAGCAATTAATTATTTTCTTGGAATACACAATATTTTTAGAGCCGAGAACAAGTTTTAGTGGTTGTGTTGTTGTTTTTCTTACTGGGAAGATGCTTAAATTAAAGAAATTAATGATGGGTTTCATAGGCAGTTTTTGTTTAAAGGTGAGAGACCACAAATAAATGTGTGTGAGTTGATTAAGTTAAAGAAAGAAAATTAAAGAATTTGTAAAAAATTAGTTGGCTTATAATTTGAATATGAAAGTAAAAGTTAGGAGGAATTCGTGGAAGTTATGTATTAAAGAAGTTAAGATTTCTTAAAGTTCTAAACATCAATAATAAAAATGTAAGCTTTTTAATAAAGTATTAATTAATTACCTGCTTACAACTTTCTAAACTTTGTATGTAATATAAACACTTCAAATTAGATATTATAAATTCATGTTCATCTGTAAATTAAGTACAAGCCAAATACTTATTCCTATTTAAATAAGTTTTATTCTTATTAAACCACAATGTGCCCTTGAAACCACCTTAGAATAATTACAAAAAACCTTAACCCTATAGGTAATTTCAATCATTATAATAATAAATCGAATTCAAATATTAAATATTTATAACTATATATATTTCTAGATCTTAGCACTACTCTCAATCGATTCTTGGGCAACCGCAAGTTGGTCTTGAAATCGCAATAGTTAATGGAATATAAAACAATCTCTCTCTCGCACTCGAACTCGTGCATGCCCATTGGCGTTACTTAATTTGTGCCGCACTCACACTCTCGGGGCAGTTAGTATATAAATTAGAATGCTAATCGATGGCTATGGATACGCCCTGAAAGCGGCCAGGGAACTTCAACTTCGACAGTGGCGACTTTGGTTAACTTCGAGAACCTCCAGATAGATCGACGGCGAGGTGAGAACGGAGACAATGGCAGACTGACAGATTCCGGTTAATAAACTTGATTTAAAACCAGAAGTGAACATTGCGGGCAAAAGGTAATGGCAAATAAATTGCTACTAAGTACCCACACAATGCATGGCAATTCGAGTGACACAAGACCAAACAAAAGGCGAAAATAAAATGTGTAACAAATGGACAAACGTGGCCCGCACCCGCAATTCACTCATATAGATATAGATTCCGATTCCAATTCCGAAACTCAGACAGCGGACGAGACAAGTGTTGGACCCTGTGACAAATTGTCAAACATTCGCATTCTCAATCCAGCAACTCGGAAAGTGTCGCACGACGACGATTGCAATTCATTAACAATCGAAGTGGAGTCGATACCAAGTCTAGTGGATTTTCAGTAATATATATTTATACATATCTATATATTTGTTATTTTGATTCAAGCAGAGTTGAGGGACGGCCAGGCTCAAAGCCATCAAAAGAAGGGAGAGGCCACACGTCGTATACGTTATGTTTTGTATATTAAAGGGAAGCCGACGAGTACTTTAAATTGAAGAATAATATGTACTTTAAGTTGGAAACAATAAAAACGGTTAGTTAAGGAGTACAGAATTTACAAAAATAAATATAAGGTAAACCATATTTTATTTAACAATATATTCTAGTAAACTCTGCTTTAAATGAGGATCATTAACTAGCGAGAAGTACCAGAGAAATCTTAGCAAAAATAAAACCTTAAACACACACAGAACTTTAAGGCTTCTTGCTTTTATTTATAGACCTCAGGAAACTCCATTAAAATATAAATAGAAAAACAAAACAATTTTTAACGACATAAGAAGTAGTAAAGCTTGCCAAATTATCTCAATAATAAAATCTTTAGGCTCATCAAATAAAACTTGTGTGCAAAGTTTTGTTTACGACTTTAACTTCCGATCGCGGTCAAAAGGGATATAACTTTGCCAAGGAATTAAGAACAGGAAAATATCTAAAAGAGGCTTTAATAACACCTATATAAATACCTCATTTAAATTCGGGTAACCTCCTTCAAGGGTACATATAAGAAAATCAAGACAAAGTCAATGCAAAAGCCAAAAACCCTGCCAAAGTCACAAAAACAAGCACTAATTGGAGCATTTTCCATGGAATTTCAAAGAGTTTATTGCCCTCCCCGCACGGTGGCCACTTTAGTATTTGTCATCGCATTGTTGCGGCCAAAACTCTGGCCAAAATAGTGCAATCCCAAACAAGTTTGTTTATTTATTTTTTTTGTTCAGGTCGTGCGACTTTGAGGCGTTTTGTCAGCCGCTTTGTGGGTTTCGTTTTCTATTTTGTATTTCATTTTTTTATCCAGTTGGTGGCATATAATTTGTTAATCGGACTTTTTTTGCAGCCTCTAATTGTTTTGGCCAAAAGCTTGAGCTACTGGCCACTGCAGGCCATTTGCGCTGCAATTAAGCTTTTAATAATAATTTTGCTTAAAAAATGTTGAACGCTTTGGCAACGTTTTTTTGCCAAGTCTTTTGCAATCTGGCTTAGAATGTGTGACCAAAGAAAAATTATATACATTATCGATATGAGTTTGATTTGATTGATTAAGGGTCGAGCTAAGGCTACCAACATGTTATGTTGTTTAATGACAGGCGTATTTATTTATATTAAATGTGTGCAATTACTTTGAGATATTTCAAATAAAACATTAAGGCTTGATTGAGTAATTAAGTGGTGTCCAAGAGTTTGTTTTTCTGCGAATGCAATGACTTAGAATGGACATCCGGTTAGGAATTCCTATTTACAAAATATTATTTGGTAATTATTTAAAATTTAAATTTAAAGGTTAACATTTTAATATATTGAATTACTCATATAATATGAATTGATTTATTACACAAGTTGGTCGTAAAATTAAACGCCAATTAAGTGGGCTATTATTAATCCAAACAAGTCTTATTTTTATCGCAAGTGATCTAAATTAATCCAATTGAGAAATGAACCTGATTCTCAATGGGCAGGTTATGGGAATTAATTATGTTTTTATTAATAGAGTATAAATTTAATTACGTATAAGTTTAATGGCATTATATATATTTTTTTTAGGACCTTAGCCATTGCAAACAAGATCGTAAATTATGCTGCTGGTAAATTGCTGCCATTAATTTTCCTTCACCGAAGAAACAATCCATTGCACACAATTACTGCCCTTGGAGGTGGTGTATGTATATTGAAGCTTTTCCTTGGCATTCAGCTGGCAGCGGACTTTCAATCTGACAAATCTCAAATTAATTCACTCCACGGCGATTCGGTATTATATTTTTTTCTTTCTGTATTATTATTATTTCGGATTTGAATGCCAGCTGGGACAGTGGGTCAGTAAATCAACTCTCAATTACAGCAATCCGATAATTATTACAGTAAACTCGAAATAGGCAGGGCGTCTAAATTACAGGCCCGATGTCTGCCAAATAATGAGATATACCGTCATCTCCATATGCCATTAAAGCCTCATTTGTCCGATCGAATGAAATGGAGAGATAGACATCTCCCCTGCAAAAGAAATTAATGGTTTAATCCACGCCTGTCCATCACCATCATCGAAATTGGGGAATACAACTTTAAACAAAAGGTCCAAATATTTTTGTATTTTTTGATCATTCAGTGAATTTCAATTTTAAATCCTTTATGATTACACTTGGTTGTAATACCAAGAGTAAATTTCAAATATAAAATTTCTTAGCTTCAAAATTATTTGACAGATTATATAAAATACGATTTCAAATTAATTTCAAAGATTTTTTAAATAGATAACAATTTTTTATATTTACGATCATTTATGTTTCATAGTATTTCATAGTTTTTAAATACCAAAGTTTAACTTTATAATATATTCATTAATATTAAGCAACCAATAACTCTTTTAGTAAATATTAACATCAAATTTAATGATTTTCTACCACTGATATTAAGTGTTTAATATGATAATTATAATTATTATTAAAATGATAATTGTAATACAACATTAAATGCACCATTAAAAGGGTACCTTATTTTCAACTACTATGGTTAACATTAAATAGTATTTTCTTTTCATTTCCTTCAATTTTCCTTAAATTTGATTAAAATTCCGATAAATTCCTAATTAATTATATCCCAAAAATAATTAAATTTATCTATTATTTAAGTGTATGAAACCACCAATTGCACTTGCATGCCAATACACTGACTCACAAAAAGACACCGATAGACTTTCATCCGTGACCTTGAGAGCTGGCCGACATATTTTTTTCGGAACTGCTCCGCCTTTTTTTGGACCTCCCCCGCCCACTGCCTCCGCCTGATTTCCACAATTGAAGACAAATCCACTTTGTGGCAAAAGCCAAAACAAAAACAAAGCGAGCACGTTGAGCAAGGCGGCCAAAAAAAATTGTAACAAAAATTAAAAACACAGCAGCAAAAACTTTGAGTGCAAAACAAACGAAAACCGTCGAAATAAAAAATGCAAAAAATAAAAAAACCAAAAAGGGGGAGGAGAAGGCTGAGCATAAAAACGCGTTTGCGCATAAAAACGCTCTTGGTTTTTTGGCCAATTTTGAGCTGTTTTGGCCAAACCAAAGCGATCTATATAAATATATATAGGAATGGATAGATATATATAGATATATCTATGTATATATATTGAGAGGCTTTTTGTTTTTTATGGCTCGGTGTATTATTAACCGTTACTGCGGCACAGCTTACCAATAATGCACCCACCACATTTATTGCTGTTACTGGCTTTTAATCCCTCGTCGCAATTGTTATTGTAATTGTTGTTGTTGTTGGATTGGATTTGATTGTTAAGCTTTCTATATATATTTATATATATATATTTGTTGTTTTACTTTTTACGAGTACAAACCGTTCAATGCAATTGTTGCTAAGCCGTTTCTTTTTTTTCGTAAAATTGGAGCAATATTGGCGCGCGAGCTTTGAATGCGATTTGTTTATGGCTCTTTGCGGATTTAGATATTTTGTTTTTTATTTTGGTTTTATTTAATTTTAATAAATTTACACACAGAAGCACACATACACACACGCACACACACACTCTGAAAACTCTGTATTTAACTGACTTGATCGAAAGCGGTCCTCTCTTTTAATTTTAATTTATTATTTTTGAACAGGAAGATCCTTGATTTTTGGAACGGTCCTTAAATGGGTTTTCAGCTGTGTGGCTCGTTTGCTTTTTGGCCTTAGATTTTGGTCTGGCTCAAATGGATTCCAGCAAATTAGAAGTAGAAGTAGGGTGGGGCTAATGGAACTCTGAACTGAAAAGATACTTTCACGACCAAAAGACTACGTGCGTTTTTTTAGAGCCAATCTAAGCTAGATATATTCTGGCCAAGTGTCGTGCGCCGCGTTGCGTCCGTTTGGCTACAGCGTCCACAATTAACTGAAATTCCCACAGCGATCAGAAACTGATAAGTGCCGCCGCTGCCGCTGACGCTGCCCAAGAAAAGCTTCGCTCCGCTCCAGCTCGCTCTCGGCCAACTTAACCTGGCTTAAACCCAAAACCCAGCCAGAGCCACATTCACAGAACGCAGCCAAGTGCCAAGGCAACAACACGAAAGGCATCAGGCAAAAGCACCACCAGCCACAAGTACAACAACTACAGGGCAGAGACAGGCTAAAAACAACTCGATTTGTGCTCAGGTTTTGTTTTATTTTTATTTATTTTTTTTTTTGGTCTTTTGGCCACAGAACAAACGGCAAACACAGCTGCTGCTAACGCTTACAGTTGCCACCAAACAAATCCGCCAAATCCAACAAACAAATGAACCCGAAAGACGTTCTCTCTTTTGCTAAAAACTTTGAACACTTTTAAAAACTAGTATCAGCATAAGCTTGAAGTCCACTGGATTTAAGCCAAAACAAATGTTTTAGCTGGACTTTAATTGTTTTTGATTGAGTGTTAATCCCTCAGTAAATATTTTATTATTGTAAGAACTTACTAGCTTAATTAATGGTATTGTTGTTGATCAGTCTTTTATATACTTCTCTTATCCTGTAAGTTGAAGTACTTCTTTTATTTGAACAAATATTTAAACAAGATCAAATCATTTGTTGTGTTTACACAAAAGCTCACCTGTCTCTTTACATTGTTTATTTTTAACATTTTACCTAAAGTTTAAACATTTTAAACTTGTGTATTGCAACTATTAAGAGCCATAGCTGAGCTCCAAGAAAACTTCATTTTCATGAACTATAGAAATATTTTTAGAGATTTTTTAAAGAAAAATTTTCTGTTTAAATGGTTTAAAATAAAATTTATTTAAACTTCTAAAATACAAACAAAATGTTTTAAATTATAATACCTTAACTTTTTCCTATATTTATACACGAATTTTACATATATTTCTACTTTTTCTACATTATAGCAGACATTACTCCAGGTTATAAACTCGGCTATAATTATAGTACGGCAGGTTTAGACAATTTTTTAAATTGAAAGAAAATACGTTATTTAGTAAATAAGCCATAGAGGGCTTCTTATATATATATATAGGATATAATTAGTGAACTTTTTAAAGTTTAAATTTATACAACAATATTAAAAAGATGATGTTAAAAAAATAAACAGTGTTAGATACAACCCTTTAGTAATCATAATTATATTATACCCTAAAAAGTATTATAATTTAATCAGAATTATGCTAAGAAGACAATGTGAAATTTATGACAATATATACTACATATGTTTATATATATATTCTTGATCAGCATAAACAGCCGAGTCGATCTTGCCTAATAACTTTACTTTATGAGATTAAATTTTATCATATATATATGTGTGAAAATTCTAAACGAAGGCCCAAGACCACGACCACCATTCTCTTTTTACTTTATTAAATATAACCAAATGAGAAACAAGCCAGAAACTACCACATGATTTTTCTAATTAAGAAATGTTTATTTTATATGTAATTCCCATATTAAATTTACAATTATATTTACACTTTTAAGCGGTACAAAATGCGAAACATATTTTGCTAACAATCGGGATAATTTGCGGGAATCGCTAGCTAAGCAGATTTGATTCGATTAAACTACAGTTAGCAGATGGTTATGCAGAAGGCTTATCACAAAAGAAAAGAGGAATACATTCTGTACAGGTAATATATGTATCATCTCTAGCTGATAACAATTGATAACGATCTCCTTGGATCGATTAGAACATCCAATTGTCGAACTTCCCACGGCGCGTTTGCTTGCTGTTGTTGTATAAAAAAGATAGATTGTATCAAAAGGTTAGTATACATTTATCCGGTATTAGATATGTGGAATTCTCTATATCGCTATCTATCTATATCAGTCAATTAGGAAATAATAAAGAACAACAAAAACACATGGAAGTAAGAAAATAAAAAATAAAGGCATTCAGAAAACATTGAAATATTTATTTTGCATTATTTATTGGATATTGCTTAAGTTTTAGGCATCATCATCATCGAACTTTGTATATATTTCTCTCTCTCGTTATCTCTCCTTCGTTTAGTATATAGTTTATAGTACAGTTTTACTCATAACTTTAATACACATCTTTAAAAAATAATCCATAAATCGTATATATAAACAAAACAAATCGCAATCGAATCGAAGCGTTCAGTTAAAAGAAATCACACACAATGTCCGTCTTCCTCTTCTGTTCGCTCTCCGAATGTACGAATGTATAAAAATACTTATCGAAATTATCAGATATACAGGGATTATATCAAGGGGAGGAATGGTTACAGAAAAGAATTAGCGCAAATACGAAACGATTTTGGCATGCAAAAACCGATTGATCGCAACACACCAGTTCTGGGATAGTAGTTCATTCTGGATATATGTATATATATATATATATATATAAGTACAGAACACACAGAGCACAGATATTTGGGATTGTCTTGGGTTCGGTCATCTACGTTCTACGTTCTATGGGCCTGGGAATGTAGAGTTTCTTTAGCACGCTAAAACAAATCAAGGACTCAAGCTAGCTAAAAGGCAGCCATAGCTGGCTCAAACTTGCGTCACGCACTGCGCGTATTTGTCCAGTTCGCTCCTTAGAATCTTCACGCGCTCCGCCTCGGACTTGAGGGCATTTACCAGCTCCTCGATGGTACGCTGTTGATTTTGCACCAATCCCTCCAGCTTCTCCACTCGCTGCTCCAGCTGGTTAACCCGCGTGGATCCGCTACTGCCATCCTGATGGTGATTATTCAGGCCCTGGCTGGGTTTCTCCTCCTGCGACTGTGAACTGCTGGCATTGGAGCTCTTGACCAGCGGCGAGACACTTCGCTGATTCCTTATGGACAAACTGTTTGGCCGCGTTGCTTTTGTCTCCTCATCACTGCTGGCCGCTGTGGCTGTGGCCTTGGCAGCGGCAGTCAGACTGCGGGACATGATGGCATCATTGGTGGTTGTGGAAGTGGTGGTGCTGCTACTGCTGGTCGAATTCTCCACATACATGGATGAAGTCACCGCCGAGGATTGCACTTTCGTGGTGGTACTACTGCTGCTACTGCTACTGATAATCGCTTGATCAGCGGCAAAGAGCTTGGATGTCCGCTCGGCCACCGAGGCACCGCGTGGCTCCACATTAGGCGAGGTCTTTTTCCTCGTGACCTGCGAGGCCTTGAGCTCCTCCATCCAGGGTGCCTTTTTCTTCTCCCACTCGCGTGGCTTGGGTTTGGCCAACTGCGGCTCCTCACCCGTCGAGTTGTCATCGGAGGAAGCTGTCGCTGCCGTGGCCTTTCCGCCTGCTCCACCGTCTTCGCTCAGTTCGCTGGCACTTCCTGCTCCGCCGCCGGTTCCGCCCATTCCGCTGCCGTTCACATACACCGAGTTATTATTGCTCTCTCCAAGTACATTGATGGCTGCCGATGGAGGTCGTCGCTTCGGGGCCTTAACTCTGCCCTGTCGCATATCCGAGAGGATCGATCCTCGCTCCACGCGATCAAAATCTGTGTCCTCTACAGCAATAGTGGCTGCCCTTCGCATCACCAAGTTACCTGCTGCTCCGGCATCTGGCAATTGGTTCGATCCTGTGAGCATTTTACTGGCCGTAAGGCCATCTGCCAAATCATGGGATACGGCACTAGTGAGCTTTCCATCGGGATTCTTCTTTTTGCCACCGAGAAGATTACCTGCGAATAATAATGGAAGCATTAGTAAGGATTTTTATATATTTATTATAAGCTTTAATGCATCGTACTAACCTGCCACAGGTACACCACCAGTGGGAGTCTTCTTGAGCGGCACACTTGGCTTCTTGCTGAGCACCGGCGGTGGCGGTGACTTGACCTTCTCATCCATATTCTCCAGACTCTTGTTAAGCGCCGAAGACACTAATGCCGCTGTAACCGAGCTGGATGCGTTGCTGGTGCTATTCCTTTGCTGACTAACGGCAGCTGCTGCTCCAACTCCCGGCGGCTTGGTTAGGTCTAGGTTCTTGTTCTCCAGCGACTTGCGCTGGGCGGCCACATTGCCGGTGGGCAGACCCGTCTCACTCAGGATGTCGTTGAGGGAATCGCGCGAGCCAAAGCTCTCCTTGCGACCCGCCGACGAGGATGAGGAAGCGTTGGTGGTGGTGCTACTTGTGGTGCTGTTGCTGCTGCTGCCCGTCTTCTTGATGTACACCTTCGATGTGGTAGAGGAGCTGCCGCCAACCTGCTGCTCCTTCTGCTGCTGCTGCGAGGTCACCGTGGTGGTGCTGGAATTGCTTGAATTCGTCGTGGTCATGTGGCTGGTGGTGGTGCTATTGGCAGTACTATTGATGTTCCCAATGCTACCGATCTTCCGCTGCGTCTGAGGCTGCGTTGTGGTAACTGGCGGCTCGTTGATGGGGGCAACTGCAAAACGGTAAACAAAGTCATGGATTAGTGTCGGTGGACACAATTAGCACCTGGAAATTGGCATGCAAACGTTTCAGGTTTATTTACCAACAGTGGATATCGGCTAAAAGACACGGCAGAGGTTTAAACTGAATTTAAACCAACAAATTTAGGGTAATTTGTCTTTTCAAACTTAATCAATTTATGTTTACTCTTCTTTTTTATCTCCCAACCGATATCCATTGCATTTCATATATCCGCATATTCAAGATGAGGTTGTCCGTGACTAACCATCTTGAGCAGAGAACAGCTGAGAGCCCAGAAAAAGCTCAAAACTGGTTTCTATGCCGACAACTTGTTGCCAAATGTCAATAAAACTAATGTTGAAACGCTCAGGGAAATAATACTCGAACGAACAATAGCAAGAAAAAAACCAAACAAACTCGCAACCCAAAGACAAACTCAAACCCAGCTATAAGGTTGGAGCTGAATCTGGATCTGAATCTAAGTCTGACTCGGAGTCTGAGGCGTAGGAGCAGCGGCAAATGGCCAACAACGACAACTGACGAACATAAATAAATGCCAATAAATGGCAGTGATGACAAAAGCCAAATCAAACCCGAAAAAGCCAAACCAAAGCAGAGTGAAGTCAACGAAAACTATTGAGTAACAAACCTAAAATGTGTAAAGGTCAGGCCCAAAGAAATGGCAAACAGCCAACAGGAAACTTGAAAGCTATAGTTTAAGCAACGAATTATGAATGCTCTGTCTAATGTTTAACTAAATGATTATTTATAGAACTTGAGATTTAATGGTTCCTAGTTTGTGTCATATATTTTTTAACAAAGAATTAAGTTGCTTTTGGTGAATTAATATAGGTATATATGTATCTGTCTATCTACAAAACATTTACAATTTTATTAAAGTTTATTTTGTTTTCTCAGTTAAAAAATAAAATATAATTACATTTAATAATAAATGTTTAAAAATTTTGAAGTGAAAAAAGAGTTTAAAATACATTTTTTAACTTTATCTAGGCACTGATTATACGAGTTTCTCATACATAAATAATAAAACACCATTTTAAATAGTTATAATACAAGAAATTATTGAATATAAATAATCAAATATAGGAAAAGATTAAGAGAAATAATTAAATGCAAAGCACAAAGCAATTTTTTTTAATTCATTTGATAAATGAGTTCCAAGGCAAAGAAACTTAGATAAGAGCAATTTAAAATGTATTTTAGGAAATTATAAAAATATGGAAGATAACCCAATTCATAGAATTTTATTTGAATATTATCTATTAATTTATCTATTTTCCCACTTAACACCTAACTTTTTCTACTGTTTTTACGATTTTCAAAGCGCCCGCTAGGTTAAGCAATCATCTCTAATTATAATCCAACTTGTTCAGGTGATGTCATCTATAGGTCAGCTTGTCTCAATGTATCATATATTAGCTTTTTTATTTACTCGAAATTGAAGCCTCAAGTATGTCCAAATTTAGACACACCCCATCAATCTTTCGATTCCCACGGACAAACCAATGTACCCGAAAATCATTTTCGTTGAAGAGGTGGAAGTTAAGCGACCAAAGAATTGCCTTTGTCATGGTCGAGTTTTATAATTTTATTTTTATAAAAAAGAAAAGCAGACTGTGCGCCGCTCCAAAGACTTTCACTGGATTTTAATGACAAAACAGAGCTGCAAAATAAAATGAAATTTGCAATGGTGGAAAAAACAAAACAAAACAAAAGAGCAGCGCGAATTTGATATTTTTAAGCATTGAGTAATTGAGCGTGTTGTGGTCATTGGGTGATTGTCATTATTATGATTATGATGGTCGTGTTGTTGTTTCTCGATTGTTTTTGTTTTTTTCTTAGTTGCCAGCGGCTCTCACAAATACACACAAGATGCACACACACACGGCACGCACATTAGCACGCACACAACCAATAACGAAAGACTTAAGCAACGAACTCGCATTGCCAGCTTCGACTTAATGATGACTTTGAATCCAAAACATTTTACGCCAAAGCACGCAGCAAATTATAATCATTAATTTACACCTGGTCTGAAACTTAATCCATAATTAAAAGAGTCCAATGGTGCCCCCACAAAACAAAAAAAAGGCGCCAAAGCAAAGAATTTTCTTTTCTGCCAGGTGGCAAAACTATATAAAGTAATGACGAATGCAATTGTTAAAGAAAAAGTAAAAAAGAAATGTAATATAGAAAGCCACCAGAACGAACGGTAACTGTAGCACACGCATTGCAAACCGAAAAAAAGTGGTAATAAAAACAACAAAAATTACTTCTTTTTAAGGCCACCGCGAGCCGACTTTAAATATTTCAATAACGTAAATGGTCAAGAAATCAAATCGTACTGAGACCCACAACGGCAAAAAGGTAAACAAAAACGCTGCCAAAGGTACAAAACAAAAATGTTGAGACGCTCTCCAAAGCAACGGGCTCTCTTGTTAACTTATTTTTCTGTTTTTTTTTTTACCTGTCTTTGGCTCTCTGCCTCTCTCTCTTGCAACTTTGTTGATAAACTAAAAATCTAAAACAAAGGGGGCTTGGCTTTTGGGGAGGAGACAGGTAAGGAGCAGCGGAGGGGAACACTTCAGACAAGCGAAGCGCGCGCCTTGTGATAAATGCCGCTAATGAAGATGATCATGATCACCTAGCAGCACCTGTAATGATCAAAGAGAGTGCTGCTAGTAAGAGAGTTACAAAGAGTGTAACCGCAAAGAGGGACTTACACAGAGAGAAAGGGTTTTTGAGCCCTTTTCCTAGCAGGTTTCATTGGGGTTTTTATACTTTTAAATATTAATATTTTATGAAAATTAATGCTATCTTCAATATAAATATTTTTAGAAGCTCCCAAAAGTAAACCTAGTTTTTCTTTTCACTTTTATGACGGGAATAATAGGTTTTTGTTTAATTTTATTATTATATCCAAATATATTTATAAATAAATGTAAATATTAACACACGCCTTTTTATAGCCTTGCAAGGTATTATACTTTCAGTCACGAGCTTAAAACTCAGTGAAAAAATCATTTCCGACCCTATAAATCATATATATTCTTGATCAGCACGAAAAGCCGAGTCGATTTAGCCATGTCCGAACGAAAATAAAAATTACAAATTTTTTTCTAATTTTTTTAGATGTCATGGCCAAAATTGTCAAAAATTTGAACAAAAAATTTTAATTTCTTAAAATTAAAAAAAAACAATGTAGATTTATTAACCTAACAAAAACTAAGATAGGAAAGCTTTCCGAATTAAAATTAATGCATTTTTGGGATAGTTTTTTAAATTTCGATTTTTACCATTAATAGATAAAATGTTGAATAATAAATATAAAGATAATTTTTCCCACATAAAGAAAATATAAATCAGAACTACTTTTTGGCTTTTAAATCATTAATAAATATTATATTACCGCTTTGTGAAACCAATTTCACTAAATAAGCTTGAAAAAATATTCCAAATAATGAATTAAAATTATTGATTACACAATTAGGCTTAACATCTTTAAAAATAATATTTTTGTATAAAAATTCAACATTTTAAGCCCTTAATAAATTCCAAAAACCCTCTAAGACTTTTTCCACGTGTGAAAATCACAAAGAAAAAAACAAAAACCAACGAAAAAACCAGTTACAACAACTGTTGTATATTTTAATGATGTTGGTGTCGTTGTTGTTGATGTTGTTGTTGGTATTGCCGCTGTTGGAATCGGCTTTGGTGCTGCTGCTCAGGTGTCGAAGGTGGAGGAAAAAAAACTGCGCCGTTGACAAAAGCAAAAGCCAAAGCAAAAATTAAATGCCAAGCATAATTTTGCTAAGCTCAAATAGCAACAAAAAACTACCGCTCAAATTCCGTTGGCAACCGCAAAGTATGCTGCGAAATAATTTGTATTAATTAACGATAATATTTTAACTTTTCCACAAAACAACAAATTGCAAGGCGTTTGCAGAATGCGGAGAAAACTCAAGCAAAGTAAAAAGCGCAAACGAGCAAACAAAACAACAAACAAGTTTTGCTGCCAAACGATGCAAATGACAAAACAAACTCTTCTGGCAACCCAAACATTAACATGCAACGCCAAATTGAAAACCAAAAACCGATCATAAACAAAGCGCTTTTATTTGGCTTAAACTCCAACTCCAACTCCAACTCCTGCTCCTCCCAATCCCCGGGATGCAGTCTTGTGCCGCTGGCATTGCGAACGCCAAAGAAATCCAAATAAATAAAGCAATATAGCGGAAGATGAGTGAGGGTCCCCCACAAGAAAAACAAGAGGTCACCATATAAGGATATTCAAATACCCTGAACTATAAATAAAAATGTAACAGGAAAAAGCGGAAAAAGAAAGAGAGTTTTGAGGTTTTTAAAGTACATAAACTTGGCAAAAAGTTTCTTTATATATATTTATATACTTGAAATAATTTTAGAGACAATAAGCTAACAAGGCAAATCATGTTTTGAGCTTCTTAAATAAGAAACAACGATTCATAATTCTTTATATATGTATATTAAAATGATTTTTAGCACAAAAGTAGAGCGAGCTTGGGAAAAATCCACTTCATAATTATTTATATACTTAGTCATTTTTTGACCAAAACTTTATAACGAAAAGAGAATTTTAAAGATTTAAAGGAAATAAGCATAAACAAACGCCCCTTTTTTATAATTTATAAATATTTCAAAAAGCAAATACTTTAAAAATATATTCTTCTAAAACTTCATGAATGTTAAAAAAAAAAGTAAAAGTTTCCTTTCTTTAAAAATACAAACTAAATAGTTATTTGCTTTCAAAAGTATAGCTTTCAAAGTAGTAATGCAACTATATTTTAAATGTTAAACCCATATTTTCTTTAACAATCAATATAAAACAAGGAAATGGAATTCCTAGCCTTTTAATAATTCCATTATAAATTCTAAATCTAAAAAATATATTAAAATATCCTACATTCTTTAAATACTTTTCAAATCAAAAATACCTCCCCCATAAACCACCTATCATAATCAATATACCCTTCATTTTTTAAGCCAATAGAGTATATGCAACTAAGCTAAAATATAAATCATAGAAATTATGGTTAACGCAGAAGAAGCAGCAGGAAGGGGAGGGCAGGCAGCAATTTTCCATTTCATATCAAAAACGCCTCAAGGAGGCACCAAACCGAGCCAAGACAGAGAAAGGAAAATGAAAAGTGGCCGAAAAAAAATAAAGAAAAACAAGTAAACAGCAGAGGGGAAAAATTAGAGGCAGGGAGGAGCTTGGAAAACGGGGACAAGGGAAAACAAGAGGTAGACTTGGACTGCTGCCTACTGGAAAAACTCGTTTACATACAAATCGTGGTGATAAAGCTGGCCATACGCGCGCCCAAGAACTCGAAAGAGCCGCCGCGCTGCGTCCGCGGTGGAATACGGACTCCGGTTGGGTCTATAATCCCGGATCCGGGTTCGGTTCTCATTCCGGATCGAGTACGGGCACGTGGTCGGGGTGGGGGAGGAAGAGCTGCATTTTGCATTATGCAGTTCCATTTATTTTTGCAGTGTACAGTGTTATCAGTATTTTGTAGAATTTTGCAGTGTTTTGAAGTATTTTTCAGTGTGTATTTTATAGTATTTTAGCGTATTCCGAATTTTCAACAATTTTTTAAAATATTGTCAGTATTTTGTAGTGTTTTTTAGTTTTTGTTAGATAGTTTTAATATTTTCCAAGAATTTCAGTGTTGATCAATAGTTTTGTCGTATTTCAAAAATATTTTTTAAATGAATTTGTTCAATTATTTCCATGTTCATTATTTTTTTTTTTTTTAATATTTTCCAACATGTTTCATTGTAGTGTAGTATATAGTTTCATTATTAAACACCGAAAAATTTTTAAGAAAATCGTAAAATATAGAAGGAGAAAGAGAGTTACAAGTAGAAGAAAGGGAAGTAGAGGAAGAGAAAAGTGTTGAGGAAAAATTACACAGAGAAAGACCAACGACATAGAGTCATCATCATAATATACAAAAATGTGTACATACATAAACAAATAGAGATACGAGGTACAGGTAGACAGGAAAGAAAAAAAGACAGTAACAAACGACAGGAAAAAAGTGTCCAATAAAAAATGTCTTCAAACAAAACACAAGTCATAAAAAACTCATACCCAAAAAAACAGGAATATGAGGAGGGGATAAAAAACGATCTTAAAGATATGGTTTAAACGAATGTTTCAATTGAAAAGTGCGTAAAGTGCGTGAGGTGCGTGTAATGTGATGTGATGTGATGTACCTGAGGTGTCAGCGATTCGATTGGGAAAACTAACTAGCCATAAAAATTGATAATACTATTAGGAATTCCATATCTAAGACCATATATCATATCGTATTTGCTACTCTCTGACAATAAATGGGGAGTCAAGCCAGCTTAAGTGGTAAATATTTAAGTAAAAGCGTTTAAGAAAGAATTGTTTTTAAGGGTCTCTACCTCTAAGGATTAGTTTTTAAATAAATATTTCATTATATGAAGTAAACTCTAATTGATTGCTTTTCTCTCTAAGTATTATATAACTATTACACTCACTTTCCATATTTATTTCCACTAAAAAGACTTATTAAAACTCTCTTAAACAAATCAATAAAAAAAAGACTATGCGTAAACAAATCCCCGGGTTTAAAATAATCACACACCGGTAATAAAAGCTATCTGATTCATATTCGCAACTGGCAATTAAGTCATATCAACATCTTTTTTTGCACACACGATGAAAAACTAACGATCCGAGGGAAAATGCAGCAAATCCCGCATTCACTGGAGGATGGGAAGGGGCTCGGCTTTGGCGTCTCTTTTATTTTTTAATTAATTCAATTATCAAAACAAACGTATATTGACATTGATCCCAGCACCGGCTGATGGCTACGTCACGACATCAATTTCCAAGTCTAACGACTCGAGTTTTCCATTTTACAGCCTATGCGTTTTCGGGGGAAAATTGCCTCCAATTAAAAGGAGTAAACAAAGAGACAGGGGATGCATTGAGATGAGAGGTGGATTGGCTTGATGACAACAAACTTGACAGACCGAAAGAAAACAAAAATACGAGATAAAAATAAAACTGAAAATTCAATGCCAGAGTTTCTGGGAAAATCCCGTTGCCGGGTGCTGTTTGGTGGTGAAAACTCACCTTCCGATGGTGCCAGCATATTGACAAAGTTATCGGGAAAGACACCAACTTTGCCCCGGATCTCGCCCCGCCACCATCCCTTATCCGGCAGCTCGGTGCTGATCACTGTGATGATATCGCCCACTTTCAATTCCAGCTCATCATCGTTTTGGGGGGCATAAGGGAACTCCACCCGGCAGTATTCCCGCTGTGGCTTCGGTGGCAACATGGGTACATTAGCACCGGCTGCACCCGTTCCAATAACTGATCCTATGGCCGCTGGTTCCGCCACCGGCGGAGCTGATGTGACTGCTGCTGCCGCCGTGGCTCTGCTCCTGGTCGATTGCTTCGATGTGGTTGCTGCTGTTCCAGTCGTTGTGGCAGTGCCGGATGTGGATGTGGATGTGCTGCTACTGCTACTTGCTACATTTACCGCCTTGGCCGTTAGGGATGATGTGGTCACGGTGGCGCCAATTGTTGGCGGCCGCTTGGAGGCCAAAATCGGTGACGGCTCGATATGTTGCACAAAATTCGATGGGAAGACGCCGACTTTGCTGCGCAGACGACCGCGCCACCAGCCTTCCTCGACCTAAATGGGAATGAATCCGAAAGCCAAGTGGCACAGTGAGTGAAAATAACAGACATAGCCGAGTGTAAAGCACTGAGAGAAATGCAAAGGCTTCTGGTACAAGTAAAGCACAAAAAACATGACTTAGAAATTAAATAAATACATTTAAATTATTATTTAAAGGTTACAAAATATTCATTTAATTATACAAGTATGCCCTGCCTTCTCTCAGTGCTTTACGAATTTCAATTTCTATTGGCCCAATAGGTTAAATGGGGGTAGCGCAGGCGTTACCCACCCACCACCCCCTTCCTGGTTTGACCCTGTGTATGTGTGTGTGTGTACGCACCTCCCCTAGGAATTCAATGACATCACCCACGGCCAGCGTCAGCTCGTCGTCGTTGACTTGTGTATAACTATAGATGACTTTGCAGCGGCGGTTGGAAGTCTCGGATTTGTCCCTGAATTCGCCAAAAGGAAGAGAAACCGAAAACAATATGTAAATTTTTAAGGATTGCGTCATAAAAATTAAGCCCAAAGGAACGAACCTCAACTGGACAGATGTTCCCTCATCGCTATGGTCTGCACTTCCATTTCCATTGACATTGCTACTAATGTTGGAGTCCAGGACACGAACAAAGTTATCCGGAAACATTCCTGTGACTCCATTGGACTTTAAGGTGCCCTGCCACCAGCCGCCGGGCATCTGCTTAATTCGATGGATAATGGCACCTTTCTGGAGATCCAGCTCATCCGGCTCCTTGGCCGCGTACTCGTATTCGACTATTGCACAAACTGTAATTATAGAAAGATATGTTATGGTTTAATTAGGATTGATAATAATAACCTTTTGAGATTATATATTTGTAAAAGAACATATATATTTTCCTTGATAGCTTTTAAGGTATTTAATTATAGAGTATTTTCTTATAAATATCTTCCTTAATGTCTGCATAACTATTCTAAAATACTTTTCTTTCCAAGCCAGAGCAGAAATTGCAAAGAATAACTTACTCAATTATGGCTTATACACATGACATGTACAAATATTAACAATGGTATCGGGTTGCGCAATGTTTAACCTACTCTAACATCCCATCCATTCCCCATACCCCTTGAAAAACGTGACATTCGTCTTTTGCTTTTTTCCCCCATTTTGTGTGTGTTTTAATGCCGCTGAAAAAGTAAAAGTTACATGACACTCCATGTACGGATCGGGAATAACAATTTATGTCGTGGGCGATGACAAATCACGAGTCTCCCAATGAGACATCCTATCCATCAATAAATCAAACAATCTTTTTTCAATGTATATGGGTCACTTCACAGTCGGAGAGACTCTATTCTATATATTAACAGGCAGTAAAGGAATAGTATCTAATTGAAAAATTAACAAAAGTCACAAATAAAGTCGTGACTTGAAGGGAGAAGAATAAAAACTTTAGATTAGAAAACCTACAATATTTAAATAAATTAATAGGGGCAGAGTAACAAGCACGACTTGATGTAAGAGAATTTTTGACGTACAATTTCACTGAATATTAAATTAGACTATTCCCATGCATTTTATATAAATTTCTGGCAGCAGGCAAGCTTGAACCTCTTTAAAAATCTTCCTATATTTATACATTTCCTTATTTTCTTTGGCTTTTTAATACTTAAAAGTTAAAAGTTTAAGCTAGAAAGTACTTTAACCATTTAAACTCATCTTTAAAAATACATCCCCTTAACACATCCACACTTTCATCTTCATCTTTAGCCCCACCAGAGTCCAATTTGTCATGACGCATATATTGAAAACAATAAGAGCATGACTGACTGACATTTTATTATAAAAAAAAAATACTATAAAAACCAGCTTTATAAACTATATGTACCCCAAGTCACAGAAGGCGACAGCTAAAAAATTTAAATAGCAACAACATTAAACTTTATTTGGCTTTGGAGGTTGCTGCCCCCGCACAATTGACTCAGTTTATACGATATATCTGTCTCTCTATATTTTATTTTTATTTTTATTTTTATGCCAAGTGCTTGATGGCTTTTGTGAGTGATGGAAATACCCTATAGAGAAGAGTTCAGGTTGTCTAAGAATGAGTATCGATGACTCTTCACGGCATAAATACATTGGAAACGCTTATTGGCTTAGGCCAGCAAATAAAACACGAAAGCAAACATAACAATAAATTCCACGGCAACAAACATACGTGATGTTGGTTCATTTTTACAGTTTGAAAGAATACTTTATGTGGGTCAGTATGTAGTGAGTAATAATAATCTTTCTGTTACTCTAATTCACGTAACATATAAGAATTCTACTACTCCAGTTCACGTTTCTTCTGGGATATTATGAAATAATTAGAAAATATAGAAGAGACTTGAATATAAAAGGAAAACTAACACATTATATTACATTAAGAGATCTTTAGCAATCATTAGTTCTTTTTATACAAATTGAAACATCAATATAAGATGATATATAGTACTGCAGACATTTCTTATTATGCTAGAAAAATTGTCACTGTTGGTCAACATTTTAATGGATGTAAAATTCATCCATTGAGAGCTGATCACTTGGATGACATTAAGGCGTCTCAAAATGCTTTCCATTTTCCACGCTCGTTTCAAATCAGCTCTAAACATTTCTTTTAATGACACCACCATGGGATGGGGGCCACCAGCATTGAAGTGACTGCTGCCAATCGAATCCAAAAGCCGTTTCGTCAAGAGCGAATAATAATAATTTCACTTTGGTTGCCGCAGCTCCAGTTTGAGTTCCAGTTCCCCCAAGAGCCGCCAGAGATCCGGCGATGAAGTGGCAAAAGTGCTGCAGCAAAAGCTAAAGCAAACGCAATAACCGAGGGGACAAGGAAAAGTCGAATGGAACGTCAAATGTCTTTAAAGAAAAGCCTGAAAAATGACAACTAAAGATGGGACAGTACTCGTGAGTTCTGAATAAAATGTTAGGGGTTTTTTAAAGGGGAAATGTTATAAGAAAACTGTGATCTAAAAAGTAAAAGGAGTGAATCTTGTAGATTGTAGATTGTAGATTGTAGATGTTATTATATTAATTTCCTAAGCTGGTTTCTCATATCTTAAAGAAAATCTCAACAAATTAATAACAAATACCTTAAATATATTTTATAAAATTTATAAATGAACTTTATATTCTTCAGTTGTAAATAATTCCATTATAACAACACCTCGTGACACGCCACCATCTCCATTGAGTGCCAATTTGTATCTAGGCCAGCTGGCAGCCGTCTGGCCCCTTTGTATCTAAGTATCTGAGTATCTGAGTACCTGAATAGCCATGTATCTAAGCATCTCTCAGTCTTTCCCAGTTTTACTGTTTAACCTACGCGCGTTGGCAAAAGGCAAACAAAGCGACAGCCAAATGAACCTTTAATGCGGTTTTTGTTTTCAAACTTTTTCATCTTCCTGCTTTTACGATTTGTTGCCGCTTTTCTCTTTGTGTTTTTTGTTTTTCTTTATTTATTTATTTTTTATTTTTTTCGCTCATATGCGCGAACGATGGGTACGCTTGAATAACAATAATAACCGACCACAGAATGGAGGAGAAATGTGTGGAAAAGGGGGCCCAAGAATGGGCGGCATCTGGAAAAGCGTCACGGCAAGAAATTTATCTTAATTGCGACTTTGTATACAATTTTTTTTAATTTTTTTTTTTTAAATATAAGATACTTGAAACTATTTAAAAATATGTACTAAAAGATTCTTTGAATAATAGATTTTGTAAGAAAAAATATATTAAATAATACTTCACTTTCTCTCAATAAATTAAAACAAAATCTTCTTGTTACATGATATTAAGATTCTACAAATCTCTCTCTTCAAATTAGTATTTAATATTGTTTTTTGTAGTGTGAAAAACTGTTGGAAAGCAGGCACCAAGCGATGGAAAGCGAGGAAACGCAGCTCTGAGTCGGAATCGTGTGAAAAGCCTGAGCCGAATGGGAAAACCAAATGTGTAAATGTGTCAAAAGCGGTGAAAATCGCATGACAGCAGCATCGTTGTCATGGTTTTTTGTGGGTGGAATTGCCTTTGCACTCAGCAAATATATATGTATATATAATGCAATATCAGTGATCGTTCCGATCAGATCGTGTTTTTGTATTGTGTCGTCGTCAGCTTCCCCAATGTCAAACAGCACATCATGTCGACCATAAAGATATGCAAATCAGTTACTGGATAGTTAAATATTATGGCCAGAAAACGGGTTGAGGTGTGAGGGCCTAAGGTGATTTAAATATGCCCTAACAATCTGTCAGTTTCTGGGGTTAAAATAGTATGAAATGTTTTCAATTATAACTATTAATAAATATTTCAATAAATTTCTTACATTCAAGCTTTTTTTATTACAGAAAAACATATGAAATATATTTTAATATGTGTAATTTCCTGTTGCTAAATATTTTTTTAAATTGTATCACATATTTAAAGCAATATATCGAAGATACTATATTTTAAAACTATTTTCTAAATCTCTAAATAAAGCTATTAACATTTAACAAGAAAAACGCCTAATAAAAGACTTTACTAATTACATTTTCAGCAATCTCCTTCACTTCCCCCTACTATTTATCGTAGTAATAAAAAACTTGAGTAATTTCAGCTGCTTTCCCCCCATCTCTCTCTCTCTCTCTCTCTCTCCACTATTTTTCCCCCTTCAATATAAAGTTCAACTGATGCATTCAAAAGATTACAAAATAAAATAAAAAACAGGCTAAACTCTACTTGCTACCAACGATCCGGTTTCGGTAAACAGCTGCATTTTCATTGGTGGCCAAGGGTGCGGCCAAAGTTCAAAAAAAGGTCCGTTAAAAGCAAACACCTCGCATCGTGTAGGTGTAAAAAAGTGTGTGTGAAGATACCTCCCAACACAACCCCCTTTCCCTCTCTTCCACCCCTGTCCGTCCACCAAAGGTGAGCAAACAAGAACATGCTAATTGGTTTAACTATCAGTTTTGGCTGCCTTTGAATTTTTGGTTTTGCTTGGTTTGTCTTCTTGCTGCTTTGTTTTTTACGCTTTTCATTGCTCTGGGTTGTTGTAATACACCGAGAATAAATATTTAACTATACGGTTTTTAATAAATATTTACTACAATATATATATATAACAAAATTTAAATAAACATTTAGATTATGTAAAATAAGTAATAATTTACCAAAATCTGCCAGAAAACTTAAATAATTGTTAAGTTTATGATTACCAACTTGCTCTTGGTATTGATAATGCACTGAGAATGAATATAAAATTACACAAAATATGTATGTATTTTAAGAAATAATTAGTACAAATATTTTTTGAGTCTTAAAAACATTATAAATTATATAACGTAAATAATTTTTAAAGTCTTATGAATCAAGGTTCTGATATTGAAAATATAAAATAGAAAGAAAGTTAGCTCAAAAATTATGATTCCCAACTAGCTCTGGTAGTGGAATGAAAATAAGTAATAGAATATACAAAATATATATAAACTAATTAAGTTCATAGGATTATAATTCCCAACAGGGTCTAGTAGCAACCTGGCTAGAGTTACTTATAAAGGCATAATCTAGTGAGAAATATCTTATTATTCAACCCTTCTAATTGTCTTTAACAAGAGCTTTGTGTGTATATATTGCAACTTAAACATTTAACTTTAATATAGGATTTTTTTCAATGTATTTGGGTTCCAATGGTGCTGATGTTGTCGACGGTGGGAGATGCCATGAACCGTAAACGGTAAATTGCCTTTGCGTGAGTTCGACTTTTGAATATGCAGCA